ACCCCTCCCTTCCCCCCCCCCCCCCCCCCCTCCCCTCCCCTCTTCTTCTTGCATAGCATAGCATGGCATTGCATGGCATGATGTCAAACTAGGGTCACCTTGGATGGAGAGACACACACTGACAGACAACAAGACCGTTTGAATTTCTTCTTTGCAAATTGTTGTTCTGCGGTGTCTGCCACGCCACGGATGGACACAGCGCTTCACATAACGTACATGCACACGTTTCCTGGATACCTTTAGTCCAAAGGAAGCTAGTTGAACCAGGGTAGGTATGACAGGCTAGGTAAATGAAGGGAGTTCCCTTTCTCTGGACATTCGACAACTGATATGATATGAGATGAGCAGATGGACTGAGCCGTCAAGACCGGATAGTCGGTGGTGAACACGCGCCTGCGCTAGTAGTGGCCTAGACCAGCTCAACCTTGGCATAATATCCTTTCTTCGAGGTTACTTCTCGTCAGCTCATGGGGCATGCCGACGTATGTTTATTTGTGTGTGGCCTTCTCTTTTGGTTTCTGTTAGCCAGGTTCTGGCCTGGATCTTTGGCTTTAGAGGGCCGTCTCTGCCGCTTGCTAGGTTATGACTGCCGCCATGTTCATGGTGACTAGGTGGGAAACTGGGATTCTCACTGAATAGTTTTATGGGCACCGGAAGTAAGCTTCCTGTTTACCGATACATATTGGGCTAGCCAACTAACTTGGTTCTTGATTTTGCGTTATCGGTCCTGTGAGACCTCATGGTCCGACGCCGAAGACTAGGTAGGTATGGTGAAAGAGTTTATTTAATGTAGACTTGGATTCTTCCATGACATAGCTCTGTACGACTACCTACCGGAATTTTGAAAAACACATGTAAATCTCTATGTTGTGCCGCTTCTTACAACTTTACTACTTGTGTGAGAAGTCCCGGGTGATAACTCCATGTAATCAGAGGTACACAAGGCTGTCAGTTAGGTCTCCTATACCTCTTACTCAAACACACATACTTGTTTAAACAGGGCACTACCATAGGTACTGATAAGTTACTGAACGACTTACCTTGGCTACTTGAAACTGCAAAAGCTCTGGTTCAGACACAGAACTGGTAGCCTGTTTCTTGTACCATTCTCTTGTATCATGAATTCAAAACTGTTGAAACAACATTTTCGAAACAAACCTCCCAGACAAACGAAGACTAGAGAGGAAATAATATTTGGCTACATACCTGGACTACCGGTAACCCAACGTAATCAGCAAGGAACCATTGATAAGAGCCAAGAAAAAAGAGTGAAATCGGAATTGACCAAGCATGGACTAACTGACTCGTCGACTGTATGTGAACACAACAGAAATCGAACAGTTACACAACATAATCGTTCTTGAGGTATTTCTTCCTATTCGTAGCATCCGCAGCCACCGCAGCCCCGAAGCCCTGTAGTGCCGTTTCGGATTCACTTGGCTACCTACGCTATCGTGTCATGAAATATATATATACATATATACGCAGATACATCATCTTCATGGATCAATCTCAACCTTGCTAGCTTGTAGTCAGCTACCTACCTGATTTCTGAAAGGGTTCGGTACCCTCCGATCCAGCCAATCTTCCAAACCCCCTTCTTGCCTTCAACTGACTGACTAACATGTACCATGGAACTTGTCAAGTTGTTTCCAAGCATCCCGTCCAATCCAAAGAGCCTTGACCCATTTACTGTAACTGTCTTGGTGCCACAAAGCCCAACATTCGACGAACGAGCCGGCTGAGTTGGTTTCGTCCACCTCGTATTCGAAGTATATCCCGGGAAGCAAGTGCGGGAGTCTGGAACCCAAAGATGGAGAGCGGGACCGGGCCCGGCCCCGGGACCGCACAGCCAGTCGCAACTTTGTGTTGGACTGCGAGTGACGAGAGAGAAGACTGGATGTAGAGATAGATTGAAGATTGTTTGAGCGGTTGATTGGAGATCTAAAATCTTGTCTGGTTGTCGGTGACTGCTTTTTACCTTCGGTCAGTGCAACAACCACTGTGTTGTTCTTTAGACTGACACCTTTTTGACTCGTGTGCCTACTTCCTCTAAGTATGGTTTGAATTTGGAAGAATAACACTTGGCTTAGGGAAAAAAAAACAAAAAACCAAAAAAAAACAAAACCATATATTCTAAGAAGATGAGCAAATGAGACAAGAGAAGGGGGAGGGAGGGGAGGTAAAAATAGCGAAGGATAAGATGACGCTGCCATGAAAAGAAACCTTCAAAAAAATGAATGCCCAATAACAGGATTGAACTGTTGACCTTCGCATTGACTTGATATCAGAGAACTGATATTAGTACGACGCTCTAACCAGCTGAGCTAATCGGGCTGTTAGTTAGAAAAACTCATGGGTGTAAGAGGATATGTGGGACAAAATAGATTGTGGGGCTGCTAGGACAGGATAACCTTGTGTGCACCTTCCAGATCAAAATCATCAACTCTGCTTTCCAAGCTCACTGCCTCTGACCTACATAGACTCTACCCTAAGTTGTGTGAAAAAGTGGGCAAGTATCTCTCATCATGAAGCAAATACACGCTTAACAATGTCTTCTACGTGACTACATGCCTTTCAAAGCTTCGCCCTAGCCTCAATAGCCGCATGCAACCCGCTCTTCGCATGCCAATATTCCCTAATCTTCTCCCTCGCCACATCCACTACGCTCGGGTCCTCCACCGTCGAGGGGATATTGACGGGCTTGTCGAACTCGTCATGGACCGCATTTTCCAGCAGTTCGCGTAGGACTCTCCTCAAGGTCTTCCCCGAGCGCGTCTTCGGAATCATGCCCTTGCCCCGGATCATCCCGCCTAGCGAGGCGATGGCACCAACCTGGGCACGGACGAGCTTCTGGATATCCTGGAACAGCTGCTCGTCTGACTTGACGTCGGCGCCGCCGTCCGAGGTGCTGATGAAGGCGAAAGGAAGCTGGCCTTTGGGGGCGTCGGGGACGCTAACCACGCATGCTTCGGTGACGAGGGGGTGGCTTGTGACTGCTTGCTCGAGCGTGCCTGACGCGGGGTGTTAGAGGAATGTTTGCAAGTAGATGACAAAAAATGGGAGAGGTAACTTGCCTGTGCTAAGACGATGGGCGGCAACGTTGATAATGTCATCAGTGCGTGCCATAATGTGAATGTACCCTGTTTGGTCGACATAGCCGGCATCGCCAGTGTCAACCCACTTGCCATTGAAGCGAATCATGTAACTCTTGTAGAATCGTTCCTCATCCCCCCAAAGTGTCCGAAACGCAGTAGGTGCCAGTGGAAGGCCCAGAACGATGTTTCCCATGTTGCCCCGGGGCACCTCGTTGCCTTCGTCATCCACAACTCTGATCATTACGGTGCAGCATTAGTTACCATGCATCTGAGGAAATGGGTATAATGAAAATTATATACCTGACATCAAACCCAGGCATGGCCTTTCCGGCACTCCCGGGCTTGATAGGTAATGGCGGATGATCTTTCACATTCGTCTTCCTGTTCTTGCCTGCGTGCGGAACCAACGCAACACCCGAAATCGGCGAGCCAGATTCTGACGACCACCAGTTATCAACAACCTGGGAGCCTGCCGCGCCATACCGCCTGAGCAAGTCCTGGTACATGTTAATGATAGCTGGCTCGAACCGCTCTCCAGCAAGAAAAAGGGCTTTGAGGCTCTTGAGCCCACCTCGTCTGCCAATCTCGGTGATAAAGACATTGTCAGGGTCTTCCTTTCGGATGGCTCTGAGTGCCGTTGGTGCGGTGAACAAGGTGTTGATCTTGTATTCCTCGGCTAGTCTCCAGAAAGCCGAGGCGTCGGGTGTTCCAACAGGCTTACCTTCGTAGAGGACCGTGGCGGCGCCTGTCAGTAGGGGACCATAAAGTGTGTAGCTGTGTGAAACTACCCAGCCTATGTCACTGAAACAGCCCATCTGATCACGGTCCTGTTAACAGCTTTCATTTTGCGAAGCTTTGACTTGTGAACGAGACGCCAACTTACCACGTCACCTGGTCCATGTATACCGAACAGATACGAAATCGACATATGCAGCCCAACAGCATGACCGCCGCTATCGCGCACGACACCTTTAGGTCGACCTGTGGTTCCGCTGGTGTAGATGATGTAAATGGGATCAGCCGACCTTACAGGAACACAGTCAACCTTGATATTTCTGAACCGCGCGCTCTTGACCAGCTTCTGCCAATCCCGCTCGCCCTCAGTTTTCTTGACTGGACGCCACACTAGCTGCTCACGCTGCCAGATGATGGTCTTGGGGGGTTTGAAGGATGAGATGCTGATAGCTTCTTCGATATAGGCGCGGTAACTGATAGGCCCTTTGTTACCTTCGATACCACAAGAAGCTGTCAAGATGGCGACTGGACGTGAGGCTTCAATGCGCTGAGCCAGGGCTGTGGAAGCAAAGCCACCAAAGACAACAGCGTGGATGGCACCCAAGCGGTTGATGGTGAGAATGCCGATCAAAGTGGCGGGCACCATGGGCACTATGTAAATAGGCTGTCAGTAGCTGGCTCAGTGGACACTCGTGAAAGCCGTAAATGGTTGAACTGACTGTAAACTAAAACAACATCTCCCTTCTTGACGCCTTCCTCTCGAAGGACCCCGGCAAAAGTTTCGACCTCGGCAAGAAGCTGCTTGTAGGTCAAACGCTGCTTGGTGTTCGTGACCGAACTGTCGTACAGAATGGCGGGCTGATCTCCATGCCCAGCTAGGACATGACGGTCAAGGCAGTTATAGCAGGTGGATATCTCGCCGTCTGGGAACCATTCCCAATGACTGTGAGAGGTACCCGATTTCAGATCTTTAGTCGTGCGTTTCAGAACCGCAGAAGGCTTTCTGTGCCAGTGAAGCTGTTCAGCTTGATGACCCCAGAATCTTTCGGGATCGGTGAGAGAGAAATGCTGGGCCTCGTCTTGAGGATGGGTCATTGTGTTTATAGTGATGTGACCTAATCTATCTATAGACTGGTTAGATAAGATTCATGGAGTTTTCATAAAGGTGCTGTTGCTTGACGCAAAGCTTGCAAGAGGACTGTAGATTATAGACAAGTAAGCATCGAGATCCAGGAAGATATCTGAAGAGGGGATAAGTGAAAGAAGACAAAGAGCGCAGAGAAGAGGGATGTTTCCTGACGGGACGGTTAGGTAAGAACAGGGAGGGGGTCAAGGAGGAGACAAGCAAACAAGTGATATCAAATTCGTGGCCTCCGACTGCATTGCAAACAGGATCGTCAACCTCGGAGTTGGTAGACTTGGAGAACGGGTGGAGCGAAGGTCCTCAGCAGTCTTTCAGGCCGATCTTTGACTGGACTTGAGATGGCAGACATACTCGTGCCAGCAAGTGTGCCAAATGAGTATTTCCCCGCATTCCCCCATGCTCCCCCCTAAAGGTCCGTCTGAGGGGTCGACGCGGGGAAGGCACTAATGGAGTGCCAGCGAACAGCCATTTCTGGCTCGGAGTTTGGAGCTAGCCGAAGCAATGATGTGAATGGACAGAATGTTCTAAGCACTCGTGGCCAATTCAGAGACAAAAAGACATCGTTTGGGTGTTTGAAGTCATCATGGTTTTGGGCATACGGAGGGCCGTCCTCAGGTGCTATCATACTAGCCCGCAGCGGGTTAGAGTCATACAAAAGGGGTAGGGCGAATGGCTCCCGAACGTGTTCTGCTTTTGTTTAAGCAGTGAAAAAGGCATGATTTACCACATCTAGCTGTGTGGTTCTGAAACCTTCGCGGTGCAGGATCGCATCAAGATGCTGTGTTGATGACCGCAAACGCTGTGGGGATAACCACGACTCGGTAACCTTCTGCGCAGGGGAAGTAAAGCAAGAAAAACCAGTGCTGCTGCGTAGCCAAGGGGGAGAGCATCTACACATGATAGAAGGAAGTAGTTATTATAGTCTGTCAACAATACTAATTGAGAAAGTCAACGGGAGCTAGCCAAAGCGGCGAATGCCTCTTAGCCCAATGTCAGGGGTAGGTCAGCTCAGGCCATCAAAGCATGTAGTGTACGATCAAAAACCTAGAGGATCCAGCAAAAAGCAAGAAGAGATGGAGACATATCTGGGTCTTAGACATCCGGTAGCCCACCCGAAACGCCGGGGTGAGATCACAGCTTCATCCACCGGATCGGCGCGGTACCTGTGGGTCTCTTTCAGCCTTAAATGCCCGCCTTCCAGTCTTCCAGATCTTTTCCAGATCCGAGTATAGCATTTCGTCGCTCGCTTTAAGCGTGGCCTCGCTGGCCTGGAATTCCCTGTGATATGAGGCTCTGAACATCAACCAGGTATCGAAGTACTCCGCAATAGTGTGATAAGCTTTGATTAGATAGAGTTCATCCTGATGCTTCACCGGCATCTGAGCCTCGTTCTGGGACTAACAGGGTCTGAATGGCTCTTCGGTCACTCGACTTTGGAAACCATCTCAATAACAGCCGGCGCCATTGTAGTGGCTGGATGGAAATTGAGAGTTGAAACCAGCTGTCGCAACAAAACTTGACAAGCGATCGAAGAGGCTGTAGCGAGGCGAATGAATGTCATAGCACGACGGGGGAATCCTCTAAACTTCCAGTCAGCCGGCTGTCATCAAACTTGACGGACCCGGGAGCGATCGAGTGAGGAGACCAACAGCAACCGTAACGATGAACAATGACCTACTCAGCGGGCCATCATGAACCGCTGATAAGTGATGTCACCATTTCACTCCGGTAATCCACCTCTTCTTAGCTTGAACATCCAGACAGTCAAGCCTCGCCTGGTGGTCAACGAACATGTCTCGTTGCTAGACAGTGGTTGAACAAGAAAAAACAATCTGAGGGAGGCGCCAGAAGGTATTCAGGCAAGTCCGACCGTTGTGAATGCTCCGCCATCTGCCGGTAATATGTCTTGCCGCGTGCGTTTGACAACGTAGGTAATAATGAGTTTCGTGACGCCAAATTCCCCATCATTTTGCTGTCACTTCGTGGTGAATGGTCTCATGCGGAGTGGCGTCGGCATCACTGTGTTGATGTGCTGATTGATGGTAAGCATGTGGATCTGTCTCTTCAATGAGGGTTCAGCGTTCCATGTCGCGGGGCCTTCCACTTATCGCACAATCTGCTGCACTACAACTGCCCCCACTTTCAATCGGCAATCTCGCTTCCCTTGCAACCAACTAGGTAGTTCTAGTGCCCAATGCCTGCCACAAAGACTCCGTGATTCCACCCCCTCGGTGTCGGCGTGAGGAGAGACAGGGCATATGTACTGCAGTGGTCCGTACGTAATGAGACAAACATTCCTAATCGGACCAATGAGGATGCACGCGCCGAGGCGTACCTTGCATAAAGGTTGCTGTGGGAAGAAAGGTCTGGCCGACCTCCCTTTGTTCGTCACAATTGAACATGGCAGAAGTGAGGGTGATATCCGTCCAAAAACGTGCGAGTGGGTTGTGATATTAGTTGGATTTCAGTGAGCGCGTAAATGATGATGAAATGAATGTGACCTTGTGTTGGTGACATTCTCTGTAAAAGTCATTGATTGCATGATCATTTGCTTGTAAACGGTCGGCTCCTAAGCTGCTAAAAGACCATTCTTGGCCGGAGCAATTCCCAAATAATCTTTGAGGGAAAAACAAAAATTGCAAAGGGTGCAGAAAGGCGGTCGGACAGTCGCCCAGAAAGGCCATCGCGATAACAGCTGCCCGGTTCCACTACGTAATCCTCTATTCCCATTAGCTCTACTAACTGCATGCTGACCACCGGCACGCTTCTGCTCCGTCGTCGTCGTCGTCTTTCCCGGCGAGGTCAGCTCGCCCGTCTGAAAGCTATGAGACCTTTTTGTCCACGGCGAGATTAGCGGAGTTTCACATTGGTCCAGGCAGTAATCATGTCATGCCAAACAAGTTCGTTCAGAATGGAAGAGTGTTAGTATTGTTTGCAATCAGAGAGAGCCCACTGAACTCCCTATTGGAACACAATTCCACCAAGGGTAAGAAGAAGGGTGCATGTGAGCCGTTGTCAAGACTTTGTAAAGGGATACATGAGAAACAACACCGCGGACCAGGCCATCTATCAGGTAATGCAAAAATGGTGGTGGTAGAAAGGTTGAAAGTGTGTGCAAATCCCAATGCTTTCCCAAAAAAACAAAAGTCTTAAGAAGTTCATACAAACACAGAATCCAAACAAAATTGGGACTCTGCGTTCCCCGTTATCATTAGCCCTGGGTATCCTTTAAAATAAATTTCTCCTCCCTTCTCTAAATCCACATCCATAATACATCCAACTCCACAGCCATTTGAGTTCTCCAAGCGCAACCCCCTTGGCGCCGCAACGTCATGCCGAAACATGGTAGTTGGCGGGGCAGTATTAACTATTACCGATCAAGAGAATCGAGGGATCATGAGACATGGAAGTCGAAACGCTTGGCTGTCACGCATGGACAGGAAATTAGAGGAGGATGGCAGCGAGACCGAGAACACCAACGAGACCGGCGCCAGAGAGGGCAGCAGCCTTGCCAGCACCAGCGGTGGGGACCTCGGAGGGGCTGACGGTGGGAGTGACGACAGCGGGGGCGCTGCCAGTGCCAACGGAGCCGGCCGAGGTGGGGGCAGGGACGGTAGAGTTGACGTAGCCGGTGCTGTGATTAAGTGTTAGTTAATTCATGTTCTAAACGGCTCCCAAGAGGAGACGGGACGCACCAGCTGTGGCAGATCACTGACGAGGTGGTGATGATGGGCTTGGTGACAGTGCAAGGGCAGTCAGAGATGGTCAGGGTGGTGGCCTAGAGAAGGAAGGACGCGTTAGCAATGATTTTCTCGTTCTAAGCGGACCAGACTGCGGAGGAACAGATGGAAGGTGGGACGAATCCGGGGCCGGGACCAGGTTCCATGGGGCTTTATGTTGCGGTATCACCGGGGACACCGGGACACGGCGTTCCCTCACACAACCCAGCCCCAGGCTCTAGTTCCCGTTCCCGTCTTTCATCCCAGCGTTCCCTTCCCCGTGTCTCGGGTGAGACCGTGTCGTACCTCGGTGACGGTGTAAGTGTTGCCGCCATGGGTGATCTCAGTGGGGCCAGGGCAGTAGGTGGTGACGGCAGTGACAATCTCGGTGGTGTAGGTCACGTTGCTCCAGGCGTGGGCGCCAGCGGCAGCGGCAAGGACGGCGGCAGCAGAGAACTTCATTTTGGCTGATTTGTTGGTGGGGATTATGTACTCAGAGAAGGAGTTGTGTGTTCGTCGTTGAGGGGGAAAAGTTGAGGACGGCGAACGTCGGCAGCTGAGATATTAAAACGAATGGAACTGACTGAAAAGCCAAGATGTGTGGAGTGAGCGTGGATGTGGGTGAGGGAGGAAAAGGGGAAATGGAGTCGCTTCGCGAGCGATCGTCTGTTATATACCGTAGAAATTGGGGAGCTTTCTCCATTAGTGGATCGGCCCAGCGTCCCAAGGCCACAAAAGGCCCCTTGTCGACCCAAGACCGCCTTGGGTGGTATCCATGCCGTATCCATCACCTTGCATCTCGTCGCTATTGCCGCATGGCGCTAGCCACCGACAATCAAGCCTGACCCATCTTCTCGCCATTGCACGCGATCACTCGAATCACGGCGCCTTGTCAGCACACCTGGGGTGCTGGGGGGTGTGGCCTTGGACCGCCTTGGACCGCCTTGGAACCCCATCGATACGGGCTTGGGACTGCCAGGGACTGCCTGCTCAACGCTTGTTGGAGGCCATTGTGACAATGTTCCAAAAAAGAAGTGACGGATTTTAGGCATGCGTGGTGTTGTTGGCTAAGAAGAAGAAGAAGCCCAGTATCCCAGCGAAATTGCAGCTTTTCACCCGGTGCACAGACTGCGCCTTCCAATTGTCGACACAGTGGGAAAGGCGGGAGACTGGACCGACAGGACCTGAAGGGATGCCGATGGGTGGACTCCAGGGCGACCCGAGAGATTAGTAGACCTCCCACTCGGGACGGACTGTTCCTGTGGCCGACATGTTTGACGGTGTCGATAGGAGGAAGTGGAAATACTACTTCTGTTTCCTGCTGTCAGCGTCCCTGTTACCGTTTCTTCTGTGCCTGCTGAATGTGCCTGTTGGCGTGCTGACAGGCTGGATCTGCCGAGAGGAAGGGTGCTCCCAGATCGTGGTCGCTGTCTTTGCCATGTTCCTCTTGGTCTCGGTGGGGTACAGGGCAATTCTCACAGGCATGCAGGAACCAGAAGTGATTGGATCGATGAAATGCCTCATGGTCAAACCGTCATCTTCCAATTCAACCAGTCGTGAGCAGCAATCCATTCGTTCATGCCGCCACCTGCAGTTCCTTGTCGTACAACCGTTCTTCACCCTCCTCTTTCGGTTCTTTTCATGGTTATGGATACTGGATGCTGGGATGTGTCGTCTCGTTTTGATGTTGTAGTGTTTTGGTGTTTGGGTGCGGTACCTGCAGTAGATGCCCGTTCAAAGACAGAAATGAAGCGTCCAGAGGGTGCGAGGGTGCGTCTTCGGTTGTGGTCGGAGCAAGCCTCTCATCTTAGGCTGAAGGCCCGGTGGATCATGTAGGTAGGTACTTCCGGCCACCCTCCCCTGCCTTTGCAGCGCTTTGCAGCAAGGCAGGTCACGAACCGCCCGACAGTGCCAAATTCACCTGTACCTTCACTAACTAGGTACCTAGGTAGGTCTCGCAGCAGCCAGAACACCACATCCCTTTGATTGCCCAAGAACGTCGTCGTTTGCGCATCTTTTTAGTCCTTTTGTACCAACCAGTTGGTGAATGGAAATTGTCCGAAATTGTAGATAAGAGGTTTGTGCTTCTGGGCTACGCTTTAATACCTGGATCATGAAGCACGAATAATTTCCTATTCGTGTTAATTTGGATGGAAACTCAGGACCAAGAGGAGAATTGCAACGCCGAAATGTGCAGGGGCAGTCGCTGCCCACGAATCTTGGAAATCTATTGAGGACATCGATACGTCGGGTACCCCTACAGTGCGCGCTCGATGGGGACTATTTCTGGAAGCGTTCCTGGAAAGGGGTTCCTCCGAGCGCGCGAGGTGATTGGACACGCCTGAATTTATTACCTGCAGGGTCCAGCACTGAGACTTTCAACCGTCCATGTTCTAGCCCTGTCGCATCTTCTTTCGAATCAAGGTTCCAGGTCTTTTTTCCCCAGGTCCCTAGTCTCGAAGAGGTGGAGGAGGAGGAGGAGGAGGAGGATGATGATAATAATGATGAGAAAGCGAGTATATGAGATGGATAGGTTGACGGATGGATCGGATGAAATGGATCATGAACCTCGACCTTCTCCATGGACGGATTTTGGTGCCCACAACAAAAGCTTGTTCTGTTCCGGTTTAACGGGTGTCGTGGACACTGGCGGTGACAGCATCTCCCTGGTGGATTCTACACTACACGACACAAAGAGGGATTTTTTGGAGACGGCACTGGAGTGGACTGGAAGATGAAGATCCATCCCCAGAGTACAATCCACACTGGTGGACCTGTTGATACCTAATCTTATCACATGTGATGTTCTACCACCTGACATCCATCTGTTGCGGGTGTGAGTGAAGCCCATTTCCAGTTCCAATTCCAGGCCCAAGTCCGATCCGGGTACGAGGCCATCGGCATGGTCAGGGCAATTTCCACAATCTCCAAACGACCCATCCCAAACCTACATATTTGTGGATGTGTTGGCCTGTCTAGGAGGGCAGGAGGGCCCTTGCCGCATGGATTGGACATTGGAAACAAATACAACTCATTCACGTTGCGAAGTCCCAGCCATGGCTGTCTTTTCTGACAGAAGCTGCAATCGCATTACCAAACCTCAATTGCTTCTTTTTTGAAACATACAAATAGAAACCCATGGCAGGATCCTAGAGGGTTTGACTCGGTAGGCATTGCCGGATCTTCATCATCTCAGCTGATTCGTTCAGACCTCTTTTCTTTTCAGACGTCTTACTGTGTGGGAGCTCGCGCTGCGTGCATTTCGCTATGGAAGCCAAACATTGCTGGTTATCTTCAGTTTAGGGCTGATCTAGGCAGGCAATATGTCTCTTCGAGCTATCTCTCCTGCCGTCAGGCTAGGGCGTCGTGACCTGGGGGATCTGGGGAAATTCTGTAGGACAACATGCTTTGAAAATTGTTCAGAAGGCCTCGAAAGGGCGTTATCCTGAACCTGATGTAGTGTACACAAATGCTTGGCTCGTTGGCTCGTTGGCGTTGTTCAGCACTTGTCATTCCCACACTCAAACACCTGTGCAGTCTTGGCGGATGTGTGCGAATGCACACACACACGACTTTTTGGCAAAACGGACCATCGAAACGAAAGACGAAGATGAAGAAATTCAATTATCCTATAGAAAAGACTATTATCTTAATAGTCTTAAGTACGCTAATTCTATATCTTGAGTCTGTTTTCTTTCATCTCTTCGTTTAGTAGAGATATAAGCAAATGAAATCTTATCGATGGTCCGTTTTGCCAAAAAGTCGTGTGTGTGTGCATTCGCACACATCCGCCAAGACTGTACAGGTGTTTGAGTGTGGGAACACAAGCCGAGGGATGGTACCCCATGGTGGGGAAAATGTTTACAAATCAAGCAAGCTCGGATCGTCAACGTCATCGAGCTAGACGCCCATTGACATTCACATCTTCAACACCACGTTTTACTCAGTTCTCATGTAGATATTGCGAAAACCAATCGTTTTGAAGCAGCAACGGAGACGCCTTATTTAGCAAGGATTACACAGGTTAACGAGACTCGAAAAGTCACATTAATAACAACGGACAAAAAACAAGCCCACAATGGCACCAAAGACAATGAAAGCAGTGGGTAAGGTCCTCCAATCGACCAGCGCATCGAAACCCCCCCTACAGTAGCCTCTCATACAGAAATCTAACGCCCCAAATGAAACAGACATAAGAAACGGCAAAGGCTCCGCCGACAACCTCTTCATCAACCCCGACACGTCTTTCCCCCAAGCCCAGCCTGGCCAAGCCCTCGTTAAAGTCAAAGCCTTCGGCCTCAACCGCATGGACCTGATCCAGCGAGAGGGCCACTACCCTTTGCCTCCTCAAGCACCCAGCACTTTAGGCGTCGAGTTCTCCGGCACCATTGAGTCTTTTGGAGATGGCGACCACGGCGACTTCAACGTCGGCGACGAAGTCTTTGGCCTAGCCTACGGCGGCGCCTATGCCGAGTACATTGCCGTGTCGTCCAAAATGCTGCTGCATAAGCCGGCGCACCTGAGCTTCGAGCAGGCGGCGGGTGTGCCGGAGACGTGGATCACAGCGACTCAGGCGCTGCATTTTGTACTGGGCGGGATCGGCGAGCAGGGGAAGACGATCTTGTGGCATGCGGGAGCTTCGGGGGTGTCTATTGCGGGCATTCAGCTCTCGAAGCTTGCCGGCGCGAAACAAATCTTTGCAACGGCGGGCTCGGCTGACAAGTGCAAGTTCATCGAGAACGAGCTGGGCGCGACGGCAGCGTTCAACTACAAGGAACAGGACTGGGTGGAAGAGATCATGAAGAAGACCGATGGCAAGGGTGTTGATTTGGTCGTTGACTTTATCGGCGCCAGTTACTTCCAGAAGAACCTGGATGTGGTGGCTCGTGATGGGCGCATTTGCATGCTGGGACTGATGGGCGGTGCTGTAGCCGACAAGGTGGACATCTCCAAGCTACTTTACAAGAGGGCCCGCGTGGAAGGGAGTACCCTCAGGAGCCGTGACGAGAACTATCAGGGCCAGCTGAGGGACAAGTTGAGCGAATACCTGCCCAAGTTCGAGAGCGGTGAGCTCAAAATCTTCATTGACACTGTCTTGCCCTTTGAGGAGATCGTCAAGGCTCACAAGCAGCTTGAGGCGAACACGACCATGGGCAAGATTATCTGCACTGTCTCATAGACGACAGTACCAGTACAGGACCGTAAGCTGTCCCTAGCTAGTCAGGGGTCATTTGCCAACCAGCGATGCAAGTAAAGCGCTGCGATACCCTTTTGCAATTATCTTCACCTGCGGAATCCCATCGGATGCCGCGATATGAAACCCGAACCTGAGCGCTAAATATAGTAGGAAACGCCTGTACTATCACCAAGACATCATTCAATGCTCCGCAAGCCATTTCAACATCTGCTCAAAAGCGGCAGCTTGTGCCTCCTTGATATGAGCATCCTCATACTCTCCTACAACCGCAAAGCCTGTTGTTGATTTGTTAGCTAGGACATTACCAAACTTTGGGTAAGCAAATAGCAGCTTACCATGCGGCACACCGGGGTACACCTGTACCTCGTGCTCAACATTGTTCTCGCGCATGTAATCCTCGCCCGCCATGCGCACCTCATCCGGGAAGACGGGGTCATGCTCCACCGAGACCATACTGATAGGGGCCTTCAGACCCTTGAAATCGTCCTTTGACACCAGCGTCGCATGCGCGATCGCTCCCGCCTTAACCCGTGGGCCCGAAATCTTGTTCTGTCTGTTCGCTTCAAGATCATCACCGCTCTGGTTATTTCCTTCACTACCGCCCAAACCAGTGGGAGCAGGAGCAGGAGCAGGAGCAGCAGGCTTATGCGCCCATGGAAGCGTAATCCCGCCCAGCCTTTCGCTGATCGAGGCCTTCCGCGAAGCTTGAGTTTGCTCGCGCGCCAGCAGAAGAACATATCGACCGCCGATGCAGTATCCTGCCGCGTAAATCCCGTCGCCGTAGGCTACCGCATCGGCAAACTCATCGCGTACGCCGTCCAAGACCTTCTCCAAGATGGGCATGATCTTGTCTTCGGTGTGGCGGGCCAGCCACATGTCGATGAGGAAACTCTTGGCTGTCTCGGCGGCTTTGGTCCTAAAGATATCGAGAAACGATGATGTAGGGGCAGCCGAGCCGGTGTCTGCGTCAGTGGCAGAGCGCTCTTCGGAACTTGGTGCGGTCGTCGGGTTGGGTGCTGGGTCACCTTCAAAAAGATCGGGCATGACCACGACAAAACCGCCATCTTGGGCAAACCTATCGGCTTGAATCTGATTGTTCACGCTATGAAGACCGGTGCCGCCAGTCAGGAGGAGGAGGAGCTTGGATGGAGTGTGAGGGTAGTCGGCCGGTTTCGAAACGTATACCTGCGAGCAGGAAAATGCTCGTTAGATTCATCCTAGTCATTTGATGCGAATGAGAGATCGGAGAAGGAAGAGAAACGAACGTCAATGTCGTTGAGCTTGATAATCTCACCCGTCGGTTTTTGCCCAGCAGGAGTAGGCCTGTCTGAGGTACAGTTATCGCACAAAGCTGGAGCTGGAGCGGCAGCAGAGGCCGAAGGTGAGTCGATTGTATTAGGTACTGTAGTAGGCTCAGCGACAGGAATGTCCTCGAGTGCGTCGCTCTCGGGAGATTTAGTTGCTACTTCTGGATCCGCCATGATGGTCACTGGGTTGATGGAAGTAAAAGTAATTGAAGATATTCAGATCATAAAGATTGGTGCTCCGGAAGAAGAAAGGTACAAAGCAACAGCAGTGCCGAGTATCAACGCCGTGGATGTTGATGGTCAAGTTCGATCCGACAGATGGAATGATAGATCAAAGGCAGCACGACACGGTACAAGAACAATCAATCACGCACCAAGAGCGCCAACAATGGAGCGGAATTCGTCTCATCTCACGCCAGGAAAGCGAGCGGATGGATGCTCTCCGGGGCGCTGGGAGTGGAAGCGGAAAGAGAAGTGAGCACAGCCCCTCAGTGACGTACCCCTCAGCGACATACTAGGGTTAGGGTTGAAATGGATGAGAGTCATTGGACAATTCTCCTCGAAAAGCGCACAGTGCATCGAACGCATAAGTTATGCACCCGCCCATGACTGGACAGCCCGCAAGGTCCGGCACCGTAGTACAGTATGTAATGCAGGACTGGAATCATGAGTGCGCTAGCGCATCCGCGTCGCGATTCCACTTTACGCGTGAATAAGTACTAGATAACTGCGTCTCGCTCACCAACCTGAAGACCCCTGTCCCAGCCTTCTTGTCTTGGCTCTCTGCTATCTCGCACTTCGTCAAAACCCACTTGCTCCAGTATTTTGTTGCTGCAACATTATCCAAACAATGGTTTCCGGTGCCAGCCTTCAAACTACAAAACTTATCTCCATCTTACCGTTATACCACAGCAACATTCATCTCTATTTTCTCCATAAAAGAGCTCATAGCGAAACATCAACATAATCGACGACAACATCCTCAATCATGCCCGGCGCGACTTCCCGCAACACGCGCTCCGCCCGTGGGAAGCTTAGCCCGAGTGAACAAGCTCATCCTCCCGATCTTGGCGACTTCGCCCGTCTTGCCAAAATCCAACAGAGCCCCAGCAAAGACAGCACTCTGAAGAAGCGCGCCCAAGCCGAAACGACCCGTACTTCCTCGATAGAGATTGTTCTCAGTTCAAGAAAGAGAAAAGTCACCGATGACTCTGATCTCGAGTCTTCGCCAACCATCTCCAAGAAACTCCGCCAGAAGAGCGATGACACAAAGGACAACGAGAACGTTGCTCCTTGCGAGACTCCCTGCAGGAGGAAGAAGACCGTAAGGTTTGAGGACACCGCGTCTGTCAAGATCGAGCACAATAACGGAAACAAGAAGCTGGACTTCAAAGCCATACCGAACTTCTCTGCGCCAGCCGTCTCCGTGAATCGAAAGCGGCGGTTGCTCGAGGGAGACGACGAGCCCTTACACAAGAATAATCACGATGCCGCAGAAGCCGAGACACTATTGGAACGCCTGGCTCTCCAGTCACCAGCGAAGAGAAGGTCGAAACATCATGTTGGCGAAAGCAGTGAGCACGACCTCCCGCGAGAGCTCGTCCAGCTGCTTGACCTCCAAGCCGCATTTCTCAAGACTTACACTATGCAACTGGCTCATAACGGCTCCAACTTGCCGGTCGATCTGCGCACACTTTTGCCCAGTGTCACCCGAACCTGGGGCAAGCGCAAGGTGACGATCGAGGATATCCAGCGCTACATCGGCGTTCTGAACTGGGTATCGTCATCCTCAAAGCCCACCACCACCACAGCAACCACCTCACCTTCGAAAGCCCCTTTCTACATCTCCGACTATGGTCGCGGCAAGATCTGCATCGAGCTACACGAAAGCCATTCAGGCCCTCTCCTGGAACACAAGCTGAACATGGACTTCGAGTCCAACCTCCGGGCTCTCTGGCACTCGCGCCGACCAGGCCAAGTCGCCTCTCTCTTCCTCAGCACGCTTCCGCAAGCACCGATCAAGGCCTGTGCCTCGGCCATCAAAGCCGCCTCCCTCTCAAACAAGAACCAGCGTACCCTCGAAGAACTCAAGAATGGCGTCGTCCGCAAGCAACAATTGCAACAAGAAAAGCAGCAGCAGCCCACAACCCCTGCCTCTTCCCTCAAACCCGACAGCACCAAACTCTCCCTTCTCGACCGTATCCGTTTCAAAGAGAATCAGGCCGCCCTCGCCGCTTTGAGCGGTCCCTCGGCCGCCGAGATCCAGCGCCGTGCGGCGCTACAGCGCGCAGAGGACGTGGCGGCCGTGATCGGGATGCTCTGCACGGCCACGGGCGCACAGGCGCGCATGGCGTTTACCATGACGGCGCTGCTGGTCAAGCTCAAGGATTCGCTGCGGACGCCTATCTCGCAGGAGGACGCGGCGGGGTGCGTGCGGCTGTTGGCGAGTGAGGTGGCGCCGCAATGGCTGAAAATCGTGACAGTGGGCGGAAGGGAGAATGTTGTGGTGCAAACGGCGTTGCAGCCGAGTAAGATGGAGGTTGGGCAAATGGTTAAGGTTCTGTTGGGTTAGATGTGCAGTAAACTGTGAGGAACGTGGGTGACGCTCATGATGAAGAACGAGGAAATGATCTTACGACAAAAGGTCTGGTATTGCAAGGAAGAAGAGTCGTTAAAGACTTAAAGCATGTAATAGTGTTAAGGAGTTTTGGAGTTTGCTTGGCTGCTCAATATATACCCGTATTGTATTCTTTTGGGCTCTGAGACATGGAGCATTCGGTGTTATCAGATGGCACAATTTTGAGAGAGATTGACATGCATGGCGTTGAATCAGTTGAACCACTGCAGTAAGCAAAACATGTATAGCATAGACGACGAGACAGACACAGCGTAGTGTAGACTGATTGAAGACGAATTCAAAGGAAAAAAAAGGGGGTCTATTTCATCCCAACGTCTATCGCAGAACAAAGGACCCGTGATATCTTTCAGCAAACGCCTTCCCTCCGAGAAAGCAATATAAGCAATCCCTTCCAAAAGTGCAAGACACCCTCGCTGAATGTAGATGTATGCAAATAAAAAACCAGGTCATCGGCGCATATTCTTATGATGTTGTGCCCTTTAACCCTCCCTCCTCATCATCATCCATCATGCAGGCAACAGGATCCGTCTTGTTGCGTTCATGCCACCCCTCTTCCGCCCTTTGATTACAATTGTGTAGTAACAACGCTCCCCGGGGCACCAGCCCCAGTCAAGCGCGGGGGGTTTGCCGCGAATCAGGATACAGTCCCGTGTTGGCTAAATATGGCCTCGGTACCGCCACCTGGAGGGGCAAACACCCCTATGCGAGAGATGGTTCCATCAAAAGAAACACGCTCACTTCTTCTCCTTCTTTTCGAACTTGGGCTTGCCGATGTCGGAACCGCGAAGCTTGACATTGAGGACACGCTCGAGGTTGCCGAGGAGCTTCTGGTCGGGGACACCCTCACCGCGCTCATACTGGGCAATAATAGCCTGGGTAGAGTTGCAGCGAGTGGCGAGTTCCTTCTGGGTCATGGCCTTGTCGCCGATCATGATGGCGCTGCGAGCCTTCTGGATGGCGGCACCGACCTCTTTGCTGACGGTCTTGGGCTTGACGATGTCGTCGGAGCGGTCAACCATTGTTAGGCGCTGGCCCTCAACACCGGGCTTGGAAGCCTGTGGGAAAACAGACCAGTTAGTATTGGCGACGATGATGTTTGCAACGCAGCTAGCGTGACTGCGAACCAGGGAGGATGGAAACATGAGTCACATACAGTGTTACCGGCAGCATACTTCTTCTCAGTGGCGATGATATTCCCACTGCGCTGAGCAGCGTTAAGGGCAGACTTGCCGCGGACAACAGTCTCGCGGGGCCCAGCACCACCGCGGCTGACGTTCTTGCCGATCTTGACGGCGTCGGTATCCCAGGCAGACATTGTGATTGAGTTTATTTGGTTGTCGGTAGATGTGGTTGAAAGGGCTGAAATTCTTGTCAAAGTGGGAATTGTAGTCGTGATTACAGAGTACGCGAGAAAAGGAAGAGGATTGCTGAGTGACGATGGTGGGGTGGCTGTTGCGTCTTGAGAAATATAAATGGAAGTTGCCAGGTGGAGAGGCAGGAGTGGATTCAGGGAATTCAGGGCCCTATGTCCTACGTAGCGGCAAACGTGACCTTTGGTTTTGGTGATGGAAAATGGGGAGGAAAGGATGGATTATGAGTTCTGTTGCTCGCCAGTTGATTCAAATACTGTTTATAGATAACAAGGAGAGCGAGAGCGAGGCAAAGTTGACAAAGAAGTTTATTAGTATTGCAACTTGTCTTTTGTCAGCTGTGATCACTGTATCAGCCACTCGATACCCGCCGGTGAGGCTGTCCCGCTCGCCGAAACATGCGATACGTGGATGGAATGCGATGGGCTGCCGTCGAACATTGGCACGGCCGGCGGCACTGGCTGCGATGGCGAGTGATGACTCGAACGGCCAGAGGTCCAGAGCGACTTCCCCCGCCACATTGGGGCTGGTTCATGGCTTCCAGGAAGTTCTCATTGGGCAGGTTTGCCTCTTCGTGCACAAAGTGGAGAGGCCTGGGGCCCGCGCACAGTGACCGACGCGACGACTGCTTCCTTTCGGCGGGTTTTGCGGCAGGAACCATGACGCTCTAGAGTGGATCCTTCGTTGCCTTCACTCCCCTCAGGCCATCGTGATCTAGTCAGATCCTCATCCCAATGTGGAACTTGAAGAACAATGGCGATGGATGCTCCGTCCGGCGTGGTTCACACATCGCGAAAACAATCAGTCCGTGGCATCGGGGCCCTTATTGTCTCACTGTGATACTCCACGGTTGTCCGCTTTTGTCATTCGGATGAGGACATGGGAATTCACTAGTCTAAGTGGAACGTGAGTGCGTCCATAAAATCGAAGAACAGGTGGAGACTTCACCAGTTCAGACCTACTGCCCGGACCCGACTGGACATTGAACAGCTGAGCAGTCGAGGTGCCTGAATTGACTTCGGGCGCTTGTTCCTTAGCTCCCTTTTCCCCACAAATCAAGACCTGTGGTAGGTAAAGTCAAGCTCACGTTTATTCACGACAGAGGTTTGGATGGAAATGATTTCCATCCAAACCCCTCTCTCTGCCTGTTGCGCCTTCTCTTGCCA